ATACTCAAGGGTCACTTTAAAGCAGTGAAGTTATAACAAAGCTGTGGGCCAAGTGAACACGCTGACATTGTTTGTAAAATGTGTGTGCCTGTGTGTATTTTTTGGAGAGGGTAAAGGCTTTTGATAGGTGGTTGAAAGGATCTGTCACCCAAAAAAGTTCAAGAACTTTTGGTATGAATTTTACAGAACTCTATAGAGTCCTACTTGTGAATCTAGTATAATTACCAATTTAATTACCAACACCTCTGATAGATCAGGGGGGTATGTTTTGCAGTTTCAGTCAAGCCAGATGGCAAAGATATCTTTGTATCTTGCCTTCTTTTCAGATTCCCACCAGGCTTTTTAAGATAAATTCACCATATTTTTATTATTTGGCAGACTTGTAAACACTAAAGTTCCACTTGCTTATAGACTTCTTTTAAAGCTACTTCTTAAAGTTAGATTTCTTTTAAAGTTACTCAGTTGTTTTTCTTAAAGAAATTGAATCTTTTTTTTTAAGTGGAGCCTGGTGTGTGAATAGAGAAACAAGGAGCGAGGGTCATTGGCTTCAGTTGCTGGCCAGAGGCAGTGCAGAGGGCACACAGTTGTTGGCCAGAGGCAGTGCAGAGGGCACAAGCCACGGGCCCGCGGCAGCTCCCTGTGCTCCCAGCCCAGCCGCTGCCTGGCTTCGAGTCTGTGCCTCAGTGTCCTCCGCTGTGAAAGGGGGAGTAAAAAATAGGACTAACTTGATGTCATTGCTGGGAGAATTAAATGAGGTTAATAAAATTAAAGCACTTACTAACAGATCCTAACTTAGTACTATATGAATATTGATTATTAGTTTTAAGTGAACAGAATATTTATTGAGCAAATTCTGTAGACCTGGAGTTAGATATCAAATCAACCCTTTGGTTTTTGGGTGTTGTCGAATGCATACTTCATTAATAGTTTTCTTTGATCACCTGTCTTCTACAGAGGCTGGCTATGTGGCCACCTCCATAGCCATGGTCCAGGCAGCCATGACTCTTCTAAATGACATCTCTGATCTTCCGAAGACGTGAGTCTGGTTTTCTTCTAATTCGAAGATGTCGTTTTCATCTATATTTTAGCTTATTTTGATTCAGTTTTCAGACATTGGGTCTGCACATAAGCAATTACAGTACCTCTGATCCAAAGATAAAGGTAAATTAAAATTGTGAGGAGGGCAGTTTCTTACTGGCCTCTGAGAACAATGCACAGATAAATGAGAGGAGACAGAGGAGTTTGAGAGTTATGTAGGCTGACTTTCATTCCTTGTAAAAATAGCACAGGGCCGGAATCAGCCACTCAGAAAAGGCCCTGTTGTTAAATAGTATTATCAGGAGCCTCTAGTCAGTAATGATGACACCCAGCCAGCAGTGGGAAGCTGTGATACCAAGTGTGAACTGATGCATGGCATCTCGGCTAGAGGATTATCCAGTGGCCTGAGTTATTGGAGCATTTAGCTGTTACTGTAAAAGTAGGCCAACTTTACAGATGAGTCCTAGGCCTGCAGGCTTAGAAACCAATAAATGTAGACATGACCTGAAACAATATTAAGTAACAAATATAAAAATGGTATAAAGTGAAGCCTAATTAAAGTTTTCCAAATAATTCTACAGTTGACCCCCTGCATAGTTGAAAACCCATGTGTAACGTTTAACTCCCCCCACATTTAAATAATAGCTTACTGTTGACATATATATTATATATTATATTGTTATAATAAAGTAAGCTAGAGAAAAAAATGTTAAATCATAAGAGAAAATACATTTATAGTACTGTAAAAAAATCACATAAGTGGACCCATGCAGTTCAAACCCATGTTGTTTGAGTCAACTGTATACCCTTTGAAAGTATTTAACAAATGTTAGTCATTAGATTTAAAGTTTTTTCATCCACTTTGTCTTATTTATGCTTTCATATAATTTATTGCCTAAATTTATTTCACTCAGGTTTTGTCCTCCTGAGTCTGAGGACTGCCTCTACCGACAGCAGCAGTTCCTTAGTTTGATGACCCTTAGTTGAACACTCAGCAGTCCACGGAGACAGTCTCACTGGGAGCTGAGCCCTTCTAGATGGGTTTACTGGGTGGTAGTTTCTTCCTGGCTTATAGCTCCTTTGCTCATTTGGCTTATTTTAAGAAAGGAACCCAAAGTAGTCCGTGATGGAATGATGGTTTTCATGAGTTCTCTGCATGGCTTGATGACTAGTCCTCCAGCGAATCACACTCCCAGAGGAGAGGGCTGGAGCTTGCTTTGTGCAGGGTTTGACCTTGTTCTCGTCTTACAGGGGCGGGGTCTTCACCCCTGGAGCAGCCTTCTCCAGAACAAAGTTGATTGACAGACTCAACCAACGCGGCATTGAATTTAGTGTGATTAGCAGCTCTGAAGTCTAAACAGTTGAAGAATTACCTGAAGGCATAAAATGCATGAATTAATGGCTTTTTTTAATTTGAAATTTGAAATTCTATATCCTGTCTGACTATATCTAAAATATGTACACATTAAAAGCAGGAAATTGTACTAGCTTATCCTAAATTTCAAATCTTAGCTGATTTTGTGATTTTATTGCTTGTGAGAGAGAACTGATCTTTGACTCTTTCATTGAAGAATTCATGGTCAATTTTTAAACATGAGCTGGCAGATCAGAGGCTGGGGTGGGGGTCTCCCTCTGTGCTGCTGACAGGCCTCAGATGAGGTGCTCAGGCTGGTGGTCACGGGAGGCGGTAACTGCTACTCTCCTTTTGCCATGGTGTTGAACGGGACCTCACCCTTCTAAGTTTCTCTATATACTCTTCGGGCCTTTGCCAAATGAAACTGCATTTTTTGCTATTTTAGCCTAGTTTTTCACCCACAGACACTGATTTTTTGACTATTACCTAAGTTGAATAATAAAGGGTTGTCACTTGGAACAGTGGTTTTGTGTTTGGGCCTGCATAGGTATTTGAGTTGGGGTCTGGCCCGGGTATTGCTAGAATTGGGCCTATCATTTCTTTTCTCCGGTTCTGTACCTGCGATTGGTTTTAAAGAGCTAGCTGGCCAGTTTCTATTGATTTTCACTGCCTGACCAGAATTTTTCTCTATTTTTTTGTATTTTAACTAGGTTTTCCACTGAAGCCCTAAAATAAGGCAAAGGACTTTTCCTTTTGTAATAAGCATATAATAAACACATACATAGTCTTCTGTGCCATTCATTACATAAAGAGGACGGCCACTGCCTTTATGAAATTTCTACTCTTCACTGAGAAGCGTGACGTAGATAGAAACCTTATTCATGTGGAGGGACCCTTCTGTGCTGCCTGTACTGAGGGGGGATCTAACTTGAAGAGGGAGGTTCGTGGTGGTGGTGGTGTTGGGGTCTCGTCCATCCTCTGCCCGGCCAGGTTGGGAACTAGGCTCAGCTGTGCCCTCATTGGTGGGCCCTTAGAAAAGTTCTTATCCTCTTTAAAATCAGGAAGGTGTATGGGAGCAGCAGATCTCACGACTAGCCACATGGCAGAATCCTAATGCAACAGTGGGCTCCCCGGTGGGCCCTCGCAGCCTGCAAGAATCAGTGGATTAGATGTGCATTTGGGAGCCACTGGGTGAAGCTGCATGCTGTCAGTGTTCTTTGCAGCTTGGCAATGTGTGCCGTGTCCGGCTCTAAAGTGGACACTGATGTGTATACAACCTGTGTACAAGTGTGTCTCATCCAGATTTTCGTTGTAACCCCCAAGGCTCCTCTAGTTGGAAGTACATTCCTTCTGCAGTTATTTCTGCAAATTGTTAGAGAACTTTGAGGCTCAGTCCAAGGGGTAGAAGCCTTTCCTGCTTCCTGGGGCCTCACTGCTAGTCTGCCTCATTGACAGGCTCTCAGGGACTCCATGTGGCTTTGCAGACCCCGGGCCCCCGCCGTCCCCATGTGAAGCTCCACACTCGGGCTGCAAGCTTTCAGGTTATTTTTTAGTTGATGTGTGTCCTAGTCCCAAACCTGAGCTGCAGGGAAAACCCAAGCCTCCCTGATAAGCCCTTGGGACCTGTTATTAAGCAGAAATCACCAGATTCCCCGGCTTCCTAGGGAGACTCCTTTTGGAAGCCCTCGCTAGCCTGTCCTGCCAGTGGAGTTTCTTTTGGAAGCCCTCGCTAGCCTGTCCTGCCAGTGGAGTTTCAGTGTCCTGTTTGATCTCCCTAACTTTACTCTTTAGGGAGCAAGGACTGGGCTTGTTGCCTCTGTTTCCTCCTTCCTGGTTTCTTATGCAAATCAGCCCAGCGGCGCCCCCCCCACCTCCCCGGGGGGCAGTTCTGCCACAGGAACACCACCTCCTGAGTCAGCCCACCGCTCACTCACAGAGACCTGGACAGGCCTTGTTCATTTATCCTTTCAAGCCTCAACATGGAGGTAACTGTGCCAAACTCATGGGACTGTAACAAAGGACCCATGAGCTGCCATGTTGTGCTCACGGAGCCTAGGTAGTAGTACTCCTGCCGTCTCTATCAGGGGCTCCCTGCAGCCTTTCCCAGAGCGCCCTGTGCTCGGTGCTCGTCGGCCTTTGGCGGAGCCCGGGCAAGCAGCTCTGTGTGGAACCAAGATCACCTGGGCCTGACTGACCCCCGCAGACCAGCAGACCGTACTCTGTGCTGTGCGCGGGACAGTTTGCAGATAAACTTGCGGAGACAGAATATCAACTCTGTCCCCGAGCAAGGATACAAAATGAGGGGCTTGAAATAACCATTTGTCTCCAAGTCTGACCCCGAGAAATGTATCAAAACAGCTTTATTTGAACTTTCAAACTGTTTACTGTAAAGATACCGATGCTTCTCAATTGCCTCAGTGTGCCAGGCACTGTTCTAAGTGCTTTATATTCCTTTATATACTTTTAAAAGATTTTATTTATTTGAGAGAGAGCGAGCAAGTCAGAGAGAGTGAGAGAGCATGAGCAGGGGAAGGGCAGAGGGAGAGGGAGAAGCAGGCCTTACCCCGAGCAGGGAGCCCGATGTGGGGCTCGATCCCAGGACCCTGAGATCATGACCTGAGCCGAAGGCAGACGCTTAACCAACTGAGCCACCCAGGCGCCCTTGTATTTCTTTATGTTCGTTAACCATCTGCAATTAGTACTGTTGTCATTCCCCTATAAGGAACCAGAGGCTTAAGTTGGCGAGGGGAAGGCACTTGCCTCAAACTGCAGTTGGGAAGTGACCGATTAAACAGGATTTAGCCCGAGACAGTCCAGTCCCAGCTCACCTTCACCCTGGATGTGGATTCATTTTTACATGATTTGAAATCAAACTGAAGGACAGAAACAGTATGAGAAATGGGTTGGGTACATTGAGTGCACAGCTCAGCTGAGAGCCAAGTTCATCAAGCTCGGGGGCTGCACAAGCCAGCTTCTCCCACAGCTCAGGTGTTTTCGGTCGGTGAGCCCACACTATCCAGGATGCAGTGAACACGCTCTCTTCTCTTTCACTATACGAGCAACATCACTTTTCAGTCTCCACAAGCTGGATTCGAGCAGCTCCCCAAAGTCTTTTAACCTCTGTGACTGTTGGTGTACAAATGGTCGAAGCAATCCATCGTCTTCCTGAAAATAAAGGGGAAAAAGGACAGTTGCCTCATGTGATTAGAGTGAAAACGTGTGCGGGTGTGAGTGGGGTGCCCAGGAAGTTCTCCCGGCACTGCGGCTGAGAGCTGCTGGTGGAGGTGGTGAGTCACCCGGGGGCGCACTCAGCCTCTGGAAGGTGCTGCTAATAGGAAGACATGTGGAACTGATGCAAGTTTCTCAGGTTGGAATGATCTACATTCCTCCAATACTGGAGAAGTTGAGGTCTGCCAAGGGCCCTGTAGGGCTGGGGGTTCTCCCGTGGGTGGAGGAGGGTGGGCTGCCGTGTCCCCCCCGCCCAGGGAAGCAGGTGCCTGAGAAGAGGCTGCCGGGGTGCGGGCGGGCTGGAGGGTGGCAGTGCTGAGATGGGAGGGGGCAGCAGGCGCCCAGCCCGTCCCCGCGGGGCCTTTCGGTTTCTGCCTTCAGGATCACTCATGAAATGGATGCTCAGGTAACTTAGCCATTTTCTCCAATGTGTTTTCTGACCAACTCATTCTCTTAAAGGTATTTGTTTATATATTCTGAATACTGTTTGATGAGAAATAATACAAACAGGCTATGGCCTATTTTTAGCTTTTCACCTAAAAGCTTTTCTTTCTTTCTTTTGTGAGATAAACACACAGACAAGTACCTGTAATGTGTTAGAGTGAATTCACCTGCTCCAGAAAGAGCTCTGCCTCTTGAGCCCCTCCTGGTCGCACCCCCTACCCCGCCCCCAGGCACAACTGCTAGCCTGACTCGCCACCCGCAATGCAGCCCTAAACAGTCTATTTTGCCTGTTTCTTGATCATTTATGGAATCCTACTGGGTGGTACCTTTCGTGACTTGCAGGTCAGCATGCTTGGGGCTGAAACTCCCCGTGTTGCATGAGGCTAGAGTTTGCTTTCACAGCAGGATGGAGTTCCATGGTATGGAGGGTGTGGTACCTGTCTTCGCTGGGTGTGCATTGGGGCGTTTCCAGTTTGGGGCTACTTTGGGGGTGATGGTAAGAACAGCCAGTGTGCGTAGGTGTGGGCATCTGCAGAGTTTTGTAGCCGGTTCCTCATTGAACCACAGACCAGGAAATGATCTGCGTGACTGTTTTCTCAATTCTCTCAAGAATGGTGTGTAACGAGTACCATTCTGGACGCGAAGGAGAGAAATGAATTCATTCCATACATTGAATGCTTCGTGAGATGGTTCTCAAACTTCAGTTTAAGGCAGAGTCACCTGGTGGGCTGGTGAAAGCAGACTCCCGGGCTGCACATCAGGGGTCTGGTTTAGGAGGGCTGGCAGGGGCCCTGGGTTTGTATTTCTGAGACCCTGATGGTTCTGGATCTGTTGGCCAGGGACCACACTTTGAGAACCTCTGCTTCAGGGCACTGGGGCTGAATCCTCTGCAGGACCAGTGGACTCTGGAGGAGAGTGGCAGGCTTCTGGGGTAGGTGCAGCTTCAACTTTTATAGGATAAATGGCAAAAAAGTGTTTTAAGTGGTCGTTCCGATTACCATTCTTTCCAGACCATTGCCACAACTCGGGGTTTTGAGACTTACAAATTTTGCCAGTACGATTGGGTTTATGATACTGTTTCACTGTGGTTTCAGGTAGTGTTTTCCAAACTTCTAATGACGTTAAGCACTTTTCCATATATTTATAGGCTTTTTTGTTTCTTTTGTGAAGTTCCTGTTTCGGTTTTTTGATCACTTTGTTGTTGTTTCCGCTGGGCTGTTTCTCTTTTTGATTTGTGTAGTTCCCTACTTTGGATATTAGTTAGCTGTATGTTAAATGTGTTGTAAATAACCCTTCCGAACTTCTTTTGGCTTTATTTGGGTATCTGGGCCAAAGTTTACCATTTTAATGTAGGTGCGTCCATCAGTGTTTTTCTTGACAGCCGGCTGCTTTCCTGTCCTGTCCCATTGTGAGCTCATGGGCCTGTCCAGGCTCTTTCCTTCCATGGTTGGGTCCTTGGTTGTCAACTGAAAGTGATTTCTGGGTATCGTCTTAGGTGAGACTCCAGTTTCGTCTTTCCTTTTGTGTATGTATTCTAGCACCATTTGTTGAAAAATCCATCCTCACCACGTCCACTGCGGTTCCTCATCAGTCACCTATCAAGTCTCTAGTCCTGAGTGAATCTATTTCTGGGCCTTCTGCCCTTTTCCTTTGGTTACTTTATGTGTATCGGGGCCGATGTGTTACTGTCTGCTACAGTAGCATTAAAACAGACCTTGGTGTTAGGTGGCCAGTCTTCCCATGCTGTTTTGGGGTCTTGGTCTTGGCCGTTCTTTGCTTTTGCGATTCCATCTAAATTACAGAATCATCTTGTCAGACCCCATTCCATTTGATTGGGATTATTTGGAATCTCAGGGAGATGTGACAGATTTGCAAGAGCAAATCTTCCCAACCATGCAGACATGGCATATTTCGTCCTTATTTAGATCTTCCTTAACATCTCTCAAGCGAGTTTTAAAATGCTCTCCATAGAAGTCCATAGTTTTATGGGCTTTTAAAACATAGTTTTATGTTAGTTGTAGGCCTGAGTACTTTATATATTTGACACAATTATAATGGCACCTCTTATACAAGGCAGTTCTGTTTGATGCTGTTATATTCAAATGCAGTTAATTTTTAAATACTGATTTTCTTACCAGCAACTTTGCAATTCTATTAGTTAATTTCTAGATTCTTCTGGATTTTTAATTTACATAAACATGTCATCTGGGAATAAAAACAGAGGCAGCCTGGGGTAGTAGGAAGGAATACAGACTGTGGAGTGCCCCTTGCTGGGTTTGAAGGTTGGGCCTGCTACTTAACTAGTTGTTTATCCTCACACAAGTTACTTAACCCTTCTTGTGCCTGAGACCCCTGAACTGTAAAAGAAGGCTAATCCTAGTTCCTACTGCACCAAGTTGTTGTAGAATTGAGGTAGTAACTGTAAAGCACTTAGTAAATAATGTATAAAAATGTGCTATTGTTCCTATGACTTTTTTTCCCCTTTTCAATCTTTCTACCTTGTATTTCTTGGCTTGTGGCAATGGCTAGAGCCTCAGATACAGTGGGAAACAGAAGTAAAGTTTGCTAGCATCTCGGACTTCTTCCTGATGTAAAAGGGAGAGCATTCAGTGATTCGCCACTCAGCCTCATGCTTGCTCTGTGTTTAAGATGGCCTTCATCAGATTAAGGAATGCACATTTTATTCCTAATATGCTAAGAGTTTTTATCATGGTAAGATGCTGAATTTTATCATATGCTTTTTCTGAATCTATTGAGGTAATCATGATTTTTCTCCTAAAGTATTTTATTTGGTTTATAACAATAAACCCAATTTGCATTTCGGGGATACTCTGTTAATCACAAAGTCAATGAATGCCAATACCTGGAAGCAGCCAGATGTCCCACTGGGATAAAAAAGCAAGAGCAAAGATGGCTGCCCAAGAAAGCAGGGGACACATGGTTCAGGCCCCCAGCCCTGCTTTTGCTGAAACACACACACCCCTCCCCAAGCTCAAGCAATGCCGTTCCCTCAAATGCCTGAATTTAATGGAGAAAGATTGCTTTTGCTCCCGGGATTCTGGTTACTCACGGGAGGTTTGTAATGTCTCAGTCTGAGAAACTGTCCTCTTGCCACATTCAGGCTTTGGTAGAAGACCTTCAGAGCTTTGGCCAACTCTCTGTCAGAGCTGGCTTGCTGAGCGGACGTGTGATGAATCTCTCCTTCTGCGGGGAGTTGTGCTGGTGTCTGAGTGACCTTCCCACTATCTGAAGGCTTCTGTGCTGAGGTAGCGGGAAAAGATAATATTTATTTAATCATCTGTTCCTCCCAAGTATCTGTGTATTTACTTTGGTGGCATTCCACCAGCAGCGTTTATCAAACACCGACAGAGACATCTCCAGAGAAATCTTACCCGGCAGAAGGAAAAAAAAATTCTGCATTTTTTTTAATGAAACAAGATCTAGGCCAACTCATTAAAAAGTAAATTTCTTAGAAATACAAACACACCTCTCAGATGTAGGAGTTTAGAAAGTAAACAACCAAGACTTGGGTTGCCTCTCACCTTGTTGAGCAGAACCAGCTTTCTCAAGTGAGTATTTGAGCAGCACATTTTCCTCTCTCAAGGCTCTGTTAACGTTTCTGAGCAGTTCCATCTCCTGTTCTAACTTGAGCAACTTCATATAAAGTTCTGATATCTGATTTGAGGTGGTCTACAAAGAACATGTCCGTTTAGCCTTTTGCTGGATTTTTTGCATACCCTTTGGGACTGGCAATTTTTACTACCAGGGGACAACTAGATGGGGGTGGGGGTTGGTGAGCAGGGTTTAAGCCCCTCAAACACAGGAATAAATCAAGAAAACACTTGTCAAGTGGAGGGAACACTGATGATCCCTAAGCGGCTGTCACCTGGGATTTCTTCATCATCTGCCATGTCTATTTGCCACATAAATGTGCACACCTGGCCTGTATCCATCACTGTGGAAATTTTCTTGGTGTCCACCATGATGTGGCCTTCACTTGTGACCATGGGGTCCGGCTGAGAGCAGCTCAGTTGGGCACAGCCTTCTGCAATGTGGGGGGGACACCATCAAGGAAAGGAACCTCTCTGCTGTCTGGCCCCAGTGTCGTGTGAAGAGATTTAAACCATATAATCCCCCATGGACTAGAGCCCAGGGACCCAGGAGAAGATGATTCTTGGCTGTTAAGACCCTGATTCCCTCCCTCCCTCCCTCCCTCGGCAGCCCTAGATACACTGACATGATATCCGATGGAAGAAGGCATCATGCCAAAGAGGAAGTAAACAGGGTACCTTGAAGACCCCATAAATCGACAATGAGAGCATTTGTTTGTAAATAATTCAGAAACTCCTGAGATGCATTTAAAGCTGTAAATTGGACAGTTTCTTCTATTTGGGGATTCACAATTTTCCATACAGGCTTGGTATAGAAAGTGCTTGAAAGATCATAAATTCTGTACCTGAGAAAAGAACAGAAAACATGATTTAAAACCAGAAGGGACACATTTACAAAGAAAAGGATCTGATGAGCCCAAGAACAATGGCCTGCATTGGTCAGTCAATACAGGGTGACCTGTAATTGCTTCTCGCGAGTGCTACCCCCAACATCTCAGCTACTTACTGTGAGAAGCATCACTACATGGAGAGTATTACATGTCTCACAAAAAGGAAAATGAAATGAAAGGAAATGGATAACACTTTGATAAATACTTTCTACATCAATCAAAAAGTGTTAATTTTCCATGTGGGGCGGTGGATTGGTTTTTGTCCTTCAAAACTTCCCTTTATCGCTTAAAATCTTTTTAGCCTAATTAAGCCTATCTGGTGCTTCCACCATATTGCAATACAGTCCTTTTGTTTCCAACTCAAAAAATCCCAAAACTATTCCATGTAGATAATACAGCTTTACTGGGTATTCTATCAGATAATTAAAATCTCTGCTGTTTCAGTCACTCTTCTCAGCATACACGGCTTACTGTCCAGCAACCTAGAAGTAGGTGGGGCTTCCATTAAACAGATGGGGAAATACTCATGTTGGGGTTGAGCAAGCAGAGAAACTTAAGAAAATTTCATGATACACTCATTTTTCAAACTTAAGGAAAAACTCCCTCCCACCGGGGCCCACAAGGGGGGATGGTGTGTGCACACAGCTCCACGGGGCAGGCTGGTACCCCATCTGAATGCCCCGCTCTGCGCCTTCCTTGAGCCACTTAATGCCAAGGCACCGCACGAGGCCAATCTGGAAATCCATCCTCTTGCCCAGCAACTCTGAAGGGTCAATAACCACATCCTCCTCACCACATGCTCTGCAAACAGAGAAGGAGAACATGGACCACAGGTGTTAGCCGGGGCCAAAGCAAGTTAGGATTTTGCCGTCAAAGAGGATCATTGAGACTCCTCAAGAGATGGCCAACTTTTCTGAAGAAAAGACAGGGGATGTTACCAGCTGTGGAGTTCATTCATTCAAGAGACATTCAAGGAGCTCACAACCTTCTTGAGGAGGAGACAGCGATATAACCGCTTCATGCGATAATTGAGCTAGCAGTGGAGACCTAGGTAGGTTCCCAGGGGTGAGAGGGGCTCCTACCCAGGGAGAGCCAGCTGGCTGCCCAGACACGGCTTCCTCAAGGTGCCATTTTCCTTGGTGAAATCTTCACAGTCCAGAGTCAATTCCAAGCCTACAAGTTTGCAAACCAATTTGGACCGCTTTCCAACAGGGGCTGTCTCTCACATCAACTCCCTTCAAGCTCACAAAGACCAAAGCCTAGAAACTAAAATGCTGCCTTACTAACTTGCCGTGAGAGATCAGCCATCCAGTAGCCCAGAAGCCCAAGGTGGCCCAGTGACCGGAAACTTTCATCGAGTCCCAAAGACAGTGAGTTGATGGTCAGCTTGGTCCCTGGGTCACAGGACCTTGCAGTCCTCTTGCCCTCTTCCTGAGCCTGTTGCCTCTTCAGAAAGACAAAAAGGCTGCTGTGGGCACCCAAGGGGACTGAGCCCCCAGGCCAGAGCCCCTGCCTGCCTGCCTCTTTGCTTAGGATTGGTAAGAGACTTGGGCTTTTGTGAAAACTGCCTGAACTGCCTACAGCCTGAAGAGAGAACTGAGGAGACTCCCCAGAAGGAGGGTAAGAGGCAACACAACAGAGTTAAAGCAAAGCCCATCCCCACGGAAGGTCGGATAACCACCCAGAATGAGGCCAGGTCAGGGAACAAAGGGACCTCAGTCTCTACCTGGAGAAAAGGAACCAAAAAAAAAAAAAAAAAAAAGATCAGAACCTATACCCAGGATGGAGAAGGGAGGAACTGGAAAACCAGCTTTCTGCTTCTGGCTCTAGGGCCTCCCCACCAGGCTCTGGAATAGTCTAGGTCAGCCGATTTGGCCGCCATGGCAAAAACCCAATTTGATGAGGCAAAATCATGACTAAATAAGCTCTGCTGAGCACCAAGCTGACCACCTGCTCTGGGAGAACGCAGGCACACTCTGAGCTTTCTGCTGGGCAGACCCAGGGCCAGGCTAGGGGGAGAAGGAGACACCCACTGTCCTGCCGGGGAGCAGGGTGTCACGTGGATGTGCAGCACGGCCTCCTCTATTCCATCGCAGTTGAGGAACTCCACCTGGTCCTCAAGCTTCATGCAGTAGGCAAGTGGCTGGAGCCAGATGTGAGCTGAGCCCAGGTGGACGACCTCGACGGGATCCCAGAAAGGGTCATCTTCCTGAGCCACACGGCCATCTTCCCCCTCTAGAAAGCGCTGGTAAAGTTCCTCCATTAGGAATTTCCTATTGATAAACTTGGCTTTTGACCAGATCCACACCTGGAAATACAAAGGTGGGTCACCAGTGTATGACTTTACCTGCTCGTGGGTCGTTCCCCTGATTTTTCCCAGCATGCTTGCTCAGGTGGACTGGGCTCGGGGTACTCAGGACCACACCACACTCTCATCAAACTTCGTCCACATTCATTCCTGACCCATCACTTCAGCATTCCTTGAGTTGCTGGAGCCTAACAGCTCAGAGGAGATGATGAAGGGTTTAGACAATGGGCCCTCCCAGGAGAAATGGAGGTTTGAGGCTTGTGGTCCACGGAATAATGGCCCTCCGAGATGTCTGTGTCCCAGTCTCTGGAACCTGCCCATATGTCCTCATGTGGCAAAGGAAAGTAAGGTTGCAGGTGGAATCAAGTTTGCTTATCAGCTGACCTTAAAATGGGGAGATTCACTTGGATTATCCATGTGAGCCCCATGTAATCACATGGACCTTAAGTGTGGAAGGAAGCAGAAGACACAGTTGGAGAGACGGTGGCCGAAGCCGGGTCAGGGAGATGCCATATGGCTGACTTTGGAGATGGATCATGATGGCCATGAGCCTGGGAATGTGGGGACCTCTAGGAGTTCGAAGAAACAAGGAAACTGAGTGCCCCGCAAGGCTCCAGAAAGCAAAACATCTCTGCCAGCCCCTTGCTTTTTGTGCAGGGAGGCCTGGGCTGGGCCTGCGGCTACAGAACTATAAGATGATAAACGTGTGAGCTCATGGCCCCGAGAAAGCCTGCCACTGTCTGTCCCCTCACTGGGTGAGGGACACGGCTGCTGAGAAAGAGGACAGAAGCATAAGCTGTGGGGGCGGTGGGGGGGCATGCAAGTGAAATGGAATGTTCTGGACCATAAACGTCACATCAGAAGTGGTTTCCAGGTAAACTAAGCACCTCCTTCTCTGAGCAACTTGAAAACACAAGAAACTAATAGATACGTCATTCTCTGAGTGTTAACGTGTCTTCAAAAAAAAGAACATCCTCGAGACACTAAAAGACTCTTTTCTCATCTGCCTTGAGTACAGTGAGGCACAGCCCTGTCCTCCAAGTGTCCCTGCAAATGTGGCCACAGCAAACGCTATGCGGACAGAGCACAACACAAGTTCCAGAGTGTGTGGGCTTTTTCAAGACCCTTAGGCTAAGGAGCTAAGATCATGGGAACCCAGATCATCAGTCCACTGCTTGCCTCCTTGCGGAGAGCAGCCTGCGGGCCCTGTGACAGGTCAGCGAGTCTCTGCGGGACCGGCGGGGGTGACCCTGGGCACAGACTCCCTGGCTGGAAGCTTTTGCAAAGGAACTCCTGAAAAGTGAGTGTGGCTAGCTATTCCAGTGTAGATGACCTCCCTCTCCTCCCATGGCCCTGGCCAGCTCCTGAATTGTGTGGGATGTGTGACTTTGACGGTCACACAAGCAGCCCGTGGGTCCTGTCTCCTCCCAGTGGCATTCACGGTTCACAGTCTGAGGTGAACGTTTGCAAGACCAGCCACCAAAAATGTGCCGAGTGTCTCTCTCCACATTGCCGCTCTGCACCAGGCTGTTCTTCGAGCCTCCAGAACCAGACCCACAGAGCGTTCCCAGAATGACCAAACGCCAACATTTCAGGTGGGCTCCTGGGGAAGGAGTACCTTCTTTCGAGGAAAGGTCACTGTTACTTTTAAAAAGGTGAAATGGACAGCCTTGAAGATGACAGATCAGTAAGATTAGCTTCTGAGAAGAAAGAAAAATAGAAACAAAATCTGTTAGCACCCAGCCCCTTACAAGGGAGCCCAGTGTGGTTTCTACAGAAGCCAGCCAATGCTCTCCCCTAGGACATGCTTAACCCTAAGATGCAAAAACACTGCTTTACCTTCTATTTCTGGCCAGGGCAGCCTGTGTGATTCAGGTAACCTTTCTGCTAATAATAGAAGAGGCTGAATAAAGTGTTTTCAAATCACCTTAAACCATAATAAACAATAAGCCTTGGAACACAGAATCACATGAAAAACAGTTTTTAAAAACTAAAGATCTCCTTGAAACAAGGTCTGACAAGACAGCAGGAAACTGCCAACCCCAACTCAGGGGGCATGCCTGGCCCCAGAGAGGCATGTGGAACACTGGATCACCAAAGCTTCTCTGTCCTCATGGCACCTTCCAGAAAACACAAGAAACAAAAGCATAATCACACACACATTGAGGATTCAGCTCCGAAGGCCTCACAGAAGTCCAGGTTGACTCCCAGGGTGGATGTCTCACAGCAAGACCTCTGAGAGCTGCCCTGGGGGTGTGCGGTGAGCTGGCATCAAGCCTGCTGCTCTGGACTGAATGTTGGGTCCCCCCAAATCCATACATTGGAATCTAACCCCTGATGTGATGGGATAAGGAAGCAGAGCCTATGCGAGGTGACCAGCTCATGAGGGTGGAGCCCTCATGAATGGAGTTAGCACCCTTACGAAGGCGGCCCCAGAGCCCTCCCAGGCCCCTAACACCATGTGAGGACCCAGCGAGAAGGTGTCTGCTCTGACCCGTGAAGCCGTCCCTCACCGGATAGCATATCTGCCCATGCCACGATTTTGGGCTTCCAGCCTCCAGAGCTGTGAGAGATAAAGGTTTGTTGCTCGAGCCTCCCCGGTGGTGGGGGACTTTGCTACAGTGACGTGAAGGGATGGGACACGTCTCCCCTCTCTCCTCACCCCAGGTGATTCAGAGGAGGCCACTGTGGCGCTGGTCAGAGGAAGAGACAGAAAAGAACAGGAACATGTCTCAAGTTCGGGCTCGAGACTGGCCTGGCTCAGGTTTGCTCCCTGGACCCTCCCAGCCTGGGGGCCCGTTAAACTCAAGCCATGACCTTGTGACCCCAGCACGTGGCAGAAAACACAGGCACAGGCCCCTGACTATCTTTCCCTGTGTGTCGCATTTCACAATTTTAAGAAGATTTTACACAGCGGGCTTGACCCAGAAGATTTTGACAACTTTGGGGGAATGAACAGAAGTGTGAAACCCAGAGAAGGAACAGCTCATTGCTTGGTAGAGGAGATCATCCAGTGACGGATGGTCCCCTTCGCCAGCGGCACGTTTGCCAACTCCGGCCATGGATTTGGGAGGGAGCAGCCCACCTGGAGGCCCCTGGAGAAGTCGGGGCTTGTCTCGGAAGACGGGCTACGGAGTGTGTGTCGGGCTGGAGCCAGAGGTCCGGGGGTTGCTCCGAAGGCAAAAATATGTAAGGGACACCAAAAGAGCATCCCAGTCTTTTCTGTTGGGCAGAGGGAAAGGCAAGGGGTTTTAGGACCCTCCTGCCAGTGAGCAAAGGCAAACATGGGAATGCATCAGCCATAGCCTTTTCTGGAATCTTAACAGGAGTGCAGATTTTCTCATTGCTCCAGACGGGCACGTCTCTCTGTCTCTGTCTTGCTCGCACACAGACACCACCATCAGTTGGATAAACTCTCAGGCTCCCTTCTGGTACTCAAACCTTTAAGTCATATTAGAAATAGGGCACCTGGGTGCCTTCGGCTCAGGTCATGATCCTAGGGTCCTGGGATCGAGTCCCATACCGGGCTCCCTGCTCCGCAGGAAGCCTGCTTCTCCCTCTCCTGCTCATGCTCTTTCTCTCTCAAATAAATAAATAAAAATTGGAAAAAAAAATCAACAGAAAGTATCCAGTGCGGGTGATTGGGACCAATCCCAGGACTTGGTGCTGTGTGGGAGAGAGGCCCAGGAGGGAAACACAGAGGAGGGGTCTTCTGTTCCCAGAGTCCCAGCTCACACTCAGAACACATGGTATCCTTTCACTGGGTCTCCACAGGCTGTCGGGGAGAACTGACCTCTGTCCCTGGAAGAGTGCCTCAGAAACCCCGTCCCCAGAGGCGTCCTCACCTCATGAGTCCTTTGGTGGGTCACCTTCACCATGACCTCTTTCTGTAGGTCGTAGCCCCTAGAGTCTGACGATGCTAAATTCTTCACCTTCAGTTCCATTCTGAGTCCCTGGCAAGAGAAACACTTTGCCCTAAGTCACCCTGCATTTATCAGCCCTGTCTTTCCCTGTCTCTGACACTCCCAAAGCGTGTAAGTCTCTTGCAAGTTTCCTGAGGATTGGGATCCTGTGTCCAGGAGGCCAAGCCCCGCTCAGGTCCTCTCTGTGGCCTAGAAGGCTTTGGGGTGCCGGGCCCAGAGAAACCCGCTGGAGTGCAATCTGGGTTGGGGTGGTTTGGCAGGCAAACATTGGTCTGGGGTCCTGGGGTCTGGGGCCCTGGTGGCCATGGCGGCCTCAGTGGCCAGAGGTGGAAGGAATGGCGCTAGCGGCTGGGACTGGTCAGTTCTGGGTGTTGACCTGGGTTTTGTCACTGGCTCCCGGTGGGGTCCCGGGTCCTGACCTCTCCAGGCCCAATGTCCCTCCCCATCCATACCACCGAGACAGCTGGAACAGTGGCGTGAGGGGCTGTGGACCTTGTTCTCCGGGCCTTTCCTGGACCTGGCGCTGTACCATCTCCTAGCTCTTTACCTTCTCCAGCTCCTTGCCCATTTGATTTGCTTCCGCCACCAGCGGCATCAGTTTGACATAGTCCTGGAACACAGCCAGCACGCTGGGGTCTGCATTCCCCTCCCTGCAGCCCGCGGCCCCTAGGAAGACAGCACAGTGCTCCTGAGCGCTGGCCACCTGTTCCGGGACACTCATCAGCCACAAGGGAATTCATATGCTTGCTCATTCGTTCGATTGTTCATCAAATGTCTGCATTTAAAAATTACAAGCATGTAATTAAAAACAAACAAACAAACCAGGGGCGCCTGGGTGGCTCAGTGGGCTAAGCGTCTGCCTTCGGCTCAGGTCATGATCCCAGAGTCCTGGGATCGAGTCCTGCGTGGAGCTCACTGCTCTGCGGGGAGCCTGCTTCTCCCCCTCCCTCTGCCCCTCTCCGCACTCATGCATGTGCTCTCTCTCTGTCTCTCAAATAAACCTTGAAAAAACACCCAAAACCAAGTAAGTGTGGAGAAAAACCACCACCCGACTCTCTCTTAAATAGCTACTCATCTCAACCCCTGAATCTCGGCAGTGTCACGTCAGGAAGCTCCCTGCCTCTGGTTCTAATTAGTGGTCTCAGGGTCCTTGACCAAAGCAGCTGCACATCGTCCCGGGAGGAGGGTGGGGAGTGTAAAGCATGGTTGGCTACATGAAGGTCTGGGGATTCCTCTTGAACAGCAGGTAACCTGTTCTTACTTCTGTCCCTTGGGCGGCTTACAGCTGGGGGTCCTGGAGATGGTGGGATGGCCAGTCCCCCTGTCAGACCCAGGCTTGCGCTGCCTTCCGTCAGGGACTCTCAACTCTGAGGCAGAACAGGGCTTGGTGTGTGCTGCAGGAGCACAAGGAGAGCAGGAAGTTTCGAAGTGAGGTAAGGAGAGAGTGGTGTGAGATGAGGCTGTGGTGGCCTTCAAGGCCACATATAGGGCCTTCAAGGCCATGGTAAGGAGTTTGGGTTTTATTCTTACACTGGGAAGTTGATGAATAATTTTCAGCCTGACCGTAACAGGCAAGAGAAGAAGGTGGCTTGCACAGAAATGGCAGTGCAAGCCGAGGGAGGAAAGGTGGACTGGATCACGAAGTGAGGGAAGGGAGGAGGCCAATGTGGTAAAGCTTGGGTATGAAAATAGGGTGCAGTGAGTGGTTGAGACGTCTGTGGGAGGTGCAGGCAGAGCTATCGGGAAGGCAGCTGGATGAAGAAGCCAAGCAGAGCACAAGTAGGTAGCAAGAAACAGTTACTGAGGGTCATTTCCATAAGATGGTGCTGAGCGCCACTGAGGCTGGATGAGGACCTGGGGGAGCATCCATCTGGAGAAGAGCCCACAGATTCTGATTTATAAGTGCCGTTCTCAACCAAAAGGAGTCAGGATGCTGGGAGAAGTGCCTGACTCCAGTGCTGGGACTGAGAGTCCACAGATGAACCTAGAATATGTTCTTCTGCCAGAAAGGAAGCTGGTGTTCAAAGAACGATGGGGACATGTCAGGAAGACACGGAAGTCAGCTTGAAGGGACTCCTCAGGCCATATGTCGGACAGTTTGTGCATCAAAAAAAACCCCTGAAAGCAACAGATTAAAACCCATTGTGTAAAATTGGATTCTGTGAGTTCACATTGGCATAAATAAGTGACTAAACAAATAAAGTCTATTTCTTCTTCACAGTGGATTTTTTCAACTAAATGTAGAAGAAAGGGTCGAGCTAGAGATTCACCATTTGACAAAAATCATCATCATAATCCAAGCAAGAATGATCAAAGGATGATAAAACTAATGGATGAAAGTATGACGAGATGTAGGGTATCTACATATCAAAGTCTCTCAAAATATTAATTAAAGGGGCGCCTGGGTGGCTCAGTCGTTAAGCATCTGCCTTCAGCTCAGGTCATGATCCCAGGGTCCTGGGATCGAGCCCTGCATCAGGCTCCCTGCTCAGCGGAAAGTCTGCTTCTCCCTCTGCCACCTCTCTTGCTGTCTCTCTGTCAAATAAATAAAAATAAAATCTTAAAAAATATATTAATTAAAAAGATAGTAACTTCACAGTGGAGAAACCGGGCAGCCACCAAAAAGATAAATTAAGGAACATTTTGCTAACCAACTGGGCTTTACTCTTTAAAAACATCAAGGTCATGAAAGACAAAGACCTTTACCAGGTTTAAGGAGACCAAAGACGTGACAACTGAACGTGGTCCTTATTTGGATGTTGGACTTGAATTTGTTGTTGTTATAAAAGACACCGTTGACACAAACAATTAGTTAAATATGCATCAAGTCCATATTACTCTCAATTACTTTCAACCCGCTTACTCTCAAATGATTAGGAAAAAATTATATATATTTAAAGATGTATACACATATTTACATATATATACACACATTACAGATATATAATAAAGCAAGTGTAGTAAATGTTGACACAGGAACTCAGGTGTGTGTGAGCGTCCTACACACGACTCTTGCAACTTTTCTGTACGTCTCAAGAAATTGCTTCAAAACTGAGGAATTGCCCACACAGTGCTTCCCCGCCGTGGCAAGAGGCTCTGGGGAAGGAGGGCAGAGCGTGTCCAGGCACTGAGGACAGGTGGACTGGCCACGACGTAGTGGGAATTATGTCTGAGAGCCACACGGCAGCTGTGAAGTGCAGGGGAGACTCTGGAGAAGAACCTCCAGAACACGGAAATAAGGCAAAAGGGATGACTGTCCTTTAAATGTCCTGGCAGAGCCTTGTGTAGGGATTCTGATCCCCTAAGGGGATGTCGCAGTGTCCGCTCACTAAACTATTGGTTGGGGCCCCGACCCCCCTTAGAGTCAAAAATCCACTCAACTTTTGACTCCCCCAAAACGTACCTACTAGTAGCCTATTGTTGGCAGGAAGACTCACCAGGAAGCAATTGATGAACACATATTTTGTCTGTTCTATGTATTACATACTGTGTTCTTACAACAAAGTACACTAGAGAGAAGAAAATTCTCAGGAAGAGAAAATACATTTACAGAACTATGCTGTATTTATTAAAAAAAAAATCCACATATAAGTGGACCCATGCATTTCAAACCCATGTTGTTCAAGGGTCAACTGGATATACCACTCTCTTCTCCATTTGTTAAAGAAACAGTTTATTTTTTATTTTTTAAAAGATTTTACTTATTCATTTGAGACACAGAGATAGAGCATGAGCAGGGGAAGAGGCAGGCTCCCCACCGAGCCAGGAGCCCGTTGCGGGGACTTGATCCCAGGACCCTGGGATCACGACCTGAGCTGAAGGCAGACACTTAACCATCTGAGCCACCCAGGTGCCCTAAAGAAACAGTTTAATGAATTAAATCTTTGACATGCCCTCATTTCTACATCGACATGGAAATCTGTTTTAACTTTCCAAACATTGCCCTTTGAAACAGTAAAAGATGATTTTCTTAAGGAAGGCAGGAGTGCACACAGCGAAAGCCGTTGCTTTCAGACCAGCACGTGGAAGATGCTGGGAACGCAGGGCCCTGGGCTGCTCACCGAGCTTGTCCACGCTCACTCCTTCTGCAGCTGCTCTCTCCAGCTGGAAAAAGTCATAGTCAAACCTGTTCAAGTCTTCATTGCCTCTCTCTGAAGGAAACCCAATGTAGAGGTAGGCGCTGTTGGATCCCAAGATAATGCGGTCCTAGGGAGGAGACAGGTGGCTCAGGGAAGGATGGAGGCCAGAGGTGTGGGATCAGCCTGCCCCAGGGGAGGCCAAGGCCCCATGCCCTGTCCGACTGTGTTAAATCACAAGACCTTCACGAGTTCCCCAGACGGGGAAGAGACCCATGAACAGGGAGGAAGAGGTTGGCATCTTGCTTTTGTGTGTACGCTTTCAGTTTTTCCTCGGTATCCCACACCAAGCTCTGAATCAGGAATCCCAGTGGGGACCAAACAGACCTGGGCCCTCCCCTCTAGGACTTTATAGACAAATAGTGTAATAGCCTGAGAGAGATGCTTGAATGAGAGGGGGCGCTTCTGCAGAAGGGACGAGGGGCCTAATACGTACTGGGGATCCGAGCAATCCTCTCCCGAGGCGCACTATTTAAGCTAAGACGTCGGGGGTGGTAAGTTTCACCAAGGCAGAGAAGACCGCTGCTGAGCAGAGCCTGGAATGTTTTGAACGATCAAGAGAAGGTCAGTGTGACCTCCGTGTGGAGCAGTGAGGCTGGAGGAGGCAGAGCGATGGGGCCGCTCACACAGGTGTGGTCACTGAGGATTTCCAGGAGGGCGGGGTCTAATCCAAGTAGCTTGTCTAGAAGGTTCTCTGTGGCTACAGTGTGGGGAATGGGTTGAAGAGGGGATTGGGCCCTACAGTGTTGTGGACTCAGGCTGGGGCATGGGGAGGAGATGGGGAGCCCAAGCTCTTCGAGGGGCTACAGTCCCTCCCTGTGGCAGGTTTTTAAAGAAGTCTAAGCTATCATACAACATTAGAGCTGGAAAGGGTCTTGGTGAACTTCTAGTTCACTCCTCTCTGTTTTGTAGATGAAGTCCAGACAAGTGAAGTGACTTGCCCAAGAACACACAGCGAGTTAATATCAGGTCTCCCAACCCCAGGCTGTGACCATTTCCGTTGTGACTGTCGCAGAAGGACATGGGGTGGTTGGCGCCCAGCCCTGCCTGGCCCTCGCCACAGCGGGAGCCGGTGCTCCTGTCGAGGACCCCCATCCTAGCTCTCGGGTTGGACTTAGGGAATCCTGTGACCAGGCAGGAAAGTTTACCAGGTGCTGCAGCTTCGTCTTGGTCACGATGGGCACCCCATTAATGACAACTTTGCATTTGCTTTGTGGCGTGACCGTCACTTTCCCATCCAGATTGGTGAAGGAAGCGTGTTTATCTGAAATTCTAAAAAGACAAGAGTTTGTCTAAGGAGCCACAACAATGATGACTTTAGTGAACAGTTCTGATTGTCTTTTTTCCTGCTTCAGTAAGACCTCCCGTGGCCGCCGAGTGGCAGGAAGCGGTCTGGGGCTGTGGCTCCCGGGTCTGCAGGTGGAGAAGCAGGTGCAGAAGGACAACAAAGCAATTCTTTTACCAATAGAACCACACGGGCTGAGGGCTGAGAGCCGCAAGGAGCCCGGACAGGCAGGGTCATGGCTAGAGTCCTCGAGAACTCACAGGCCAGCAGGACTGAGTGGGGGAGGGGGGGACATGAAAAGCAAAGATGTTTCCAAAGGGATGCCGGGGCAGTCGACTACTAATGACTGATAATAATGTCCACACCACAGAGAAGTTTAGATCCATTTCTGGGTCTTATCATACAAATCCAGACTTTATACGCTAAACAGTTGGGGGATCGATGTCAGAGGTGTCAGAAATTGGCTGCCCCCTAGACATTATCTGTGTGCCCTGAATGACTAGCTTCTTAACTGTTCTAGAATGTTCCTAGACTCCTTGGCTGTCATGGAATGTTCTGGGTGTTGAGACACATGTCCATCCATATTGCTTGTTTGCTTGGTGCCCAGGGATGCTGTGTGAAAGGTTTTAACCTCAGCTCATCGGGAGTTCAGCCATTTACAGATCTGTGTAGGGTCCCCACAGGGAGTGGTCTGGAAAGGGAGAGGAGGGGGTCCCCAGGACGAGTCAGGAGAAGAGACCAAGAGGCTGGTGGGGCAGGGTCAGCACAGGCCCCCTCCCCTCCTCTCCCTGCATTTTAGCTCAGGAGGGCTGAGCTACATCAGGGGTATGGGTCGGTCAAGCCTCTGTATGAGCTGATTGAGGCTCCTGGCTGGAAATCTGTGGGCAGGCCACAGAGGTACGGGACAGCTGTGAGTTTGTGGGGGCCATCAGAGGGTTCCGCAGGGCCGCCCTTCGTAGGGGGGGATCACCTCAGAGGCTGGGCTTCGTCTTAGTCCAGTTGGTGAGGGAGGGCTCTGAGCACAGAGGTCTGAGGATGCTGTTGCTTCAGTGGTTAAGACCACGAAAGATGTGAACCACTTGTGGTGGGCTCTCTCTTCACTCTCTGGCCTCATCTACTTATGTCCCCGTGTGCTAAATTCTCATACAGCATCTAGCCACTGGCCTTCCCCTTTCTCCCCATATCGGAGACAAGGTGGGCACAGCAGAGGGATTCCAGTGAGAGCTTGAAAGCCCTTCCAAGGCTTTCTTCCCTAAGCTCTGGAGTGGATCCTGAGGACAGTTTGGTACTTTCTTGTTCAGGGTTGTCCAGCAGGCTTTGTGGCCTGGCCCGGCGACAGCCAGACAAACACTGAGATTCTCCCATGGGCTGACTGGTCACAGCTCATGCATGCTGGACAAAGATGGTTCGTGTAGACTTACCCTAAACCTTGAAGAAGGATGGCATTTGACGCAGCCCGACCAGCATCACATGAACCTTGAAAAGAATTGGGATAATTGGTCTTCAAAGTTTGTCAGGATTTGACCTGGACAGGGATCATGTCTCATGTTTGGGCAGTGCTATTTCATCTCCAAGAGGATCGTGCGAGGGGATTTTGCTGCTAGGATTTTCAGTCATAAGTCCTTGGACACCACCCTGCCTTAGGGATAATTGTTTTACATTCTGCACTGTCCTGGTGGGATTCCTAACTTTTTTCAAATTCCACCTTGTTGGTGGGAATTCTGGAGGAAGAAACTGTTTCGTCTGGGCCTTGGGAGATGCAGTGAAGCCTGGCCACGGGGAAGGTCCTGGTCTGTGAAGCTCTGTTTCAGTCCTGTCACTGACCCCCGGACAGGGCCCAGAGCACCATGCCAGCCCCCCTGGGGGGCTGCCCCCCACTTCCATCCCGCATGAACCCTCTCCTGTCCGGGGGTGCACATAAGGCCAGGGTGCAGAAAGCCAGATGTTACTATAATACCGATGCCATTTTCCAAAGTTTGAATAGATTAAAAAAAAATGTGGTATACACATATAATAGACTATTATTCAGACTTAAAAAGGAAGGGAGGAGATCTGACACTTGCTACAACATAAATGAACCTTGAGGACATTATGCTCAGTGAAACATGCTAGTCACAAAAGGACAGGTATTGTACAATTCCAGTTATACGGGGTGCCTAGAAGAGTTGTACGTGCAGCCCACTTATGATCTGATCCTGGCAAGGGCAGGGGGTTATTGTTGCATCGGGACAGCGTTTCAGTTTGGAAAGAAGGAAGGTTCTGGAGATGGATCGGGGTGATGGTTGCATAGCACTGTGTCCCTGAACTGTATACTTAAAAATAGTCAGCATCGTAAACTCTATGTTACGTATATTTGCCACAAAAAGAGAGATTCAAAAGAACCAGAAACGTGCTTGTGAAGCAAGAAGCAGGGGCAGGCGCAGAGTGGGGCAAGAGGGGTGAGTACCAGCCTGAATGAAGTACTTGAGGACACCCGTGAGCTGTGGGTCCTCATTGACGTTGAGGAGGTGAGGGAGGGTCTCGGTCATCTGCCGCTCCTGGAGGAGACATGGAGAGGTCCTAGGGCCTGCATGCTCAGGAGAGAGCAGCATTCCTATCCACTTGGCACCAAAGCCATTTGTCTATGCATCCTGTCAAATCGCCCAGTAGAGCGAACCCGGATGAGGAAGGCTGAGTGGGGCTGGGGGCTCGACTGAGCAGGGGTGAGCCCCTCGGCAGGCCAGCCATCGGGGGCCTGAGTTCATCCGGACAGGACTGTTGCCAAGTGTAGCCCGTCTCCAACTCTGTTCCCCCTGCCTGGCTGCCCTGCCTCGACCCCGTCCACCCTGACTTCTACTTCCCCGAGTCCCCCGCCGTCCCAGTGCTCCAGGCCAGTGCCTCACTGGGCTCATCCCTCCCTGGGTCTCCACTAAAGCCTTCTCCCCTGTATCTCATGCTCCCCGGGCCTACTGGCGAGTTCACTGGTCATCAGACGTTGGTGACAAAATGGGACGTGCTGTAGGACTCTCTTGGTCAGCTGAACGTGTTCATCCCTGAGTATAGTACAGATTGGTCTTGGACTTCTAGAGGATCTAGTCAATGAGAACCGGACTGTATGGTGCAGGCACAAGGAAAGCTTTTAAATCTTGGAATTCTGACAAAGAGTAAGGAGAGCAAGAACCTTTCCCCTTGTTACTGTCCACAACTCTAGAATCCTTGGGCCCTAACTCGGACTGGCCTCCTGGTGCTGCAGACCCCACCTGCACTAGGCTCCCCCGGCCTGAGGCTCACCCCTCTTCCAGGCTTCCTGTGGCTTTGGGGGGCCAGGTCACGGTGGGAGTGTGCTGTGGATGGGGGACCAAGAAGCATCTCCCTGACCCACGTACGAAATTCACATCGCAGGCCATTTAGATCTGATACTGCCAGTGAATGACAGGGTAGGCACAATATGGTCCCCACAAGACAGTTCGTAGTCCTCAAATTCTCCCTGAACGGTAATTATTGACAGCCTTGAATCTACCCTCAGCCTCACTCATCAAGCCTCTTGGCTTCCTTCCCTCTCGTCCCCACCGATAGCATTGATGTAAGTCATTGTCACATCTCCCATACTACATGTTCACTGAAAACAGAAGTCACTCCCATAATCCCCCTGGCCGCAGCTCCCCGCTGGGCCCGGCTTCTGCAGGTGGAGGCAGGGAGGCTCACCTGGGCGATGGCCAGATACTGTTGATGCCACTCCTCCCGAGCCTGCTCCAGCTGGTGCGCCCAGGTCGGCTGGCCAGTCTGCGGCCCAGGCCCTGGTTCTGCCAGCAGGCAGGCCGGCCGCTCTGGAAGGGGGAGGCATTTTCAGCAAGAGGTATGCAATGTCAAGGGGGAGGAGCAGAATAACTAATAACCAGCTGGGACACCGTGAGCTCTTCTGCCGCCCCCAGGGATTAATGGTGCAGGTCGGGGTGCTGCCAGTAAGGTTTCTGGAGAGTTGAACATCATTTAACTGCCTGAGACCATCAGTAGAATAAACGACAGATGGACGCCGTGCAATTCTGGGAAGGAAAGCGTAGTCTCGGTAGAAACCATGGCTTCGGAATAAAAATGGCAATAAAAATGAGACTGAAAATGACCCTCCAGGAAGGGCAGGGCCGTTATTTCTTACAACTGCATGCGACTCTGCGGTTACCTCAAAATAAAGTGTGCTTCCCCGAGGCCAGGGCCAAAATGTTCCTAGAGGCTGCCCTAGCCTGGGCTAGGGCTCCAGCGATTCCAGGCAGGTGTTCGCCGCCCCCCCCCCTCATGCTGAGCCTGCGGCCGGTCCCTCCCTCCATCGTGCTCCCAGCCTGGCCTGGACCGGGCACTGACTCCAGACTCAATTTACCTGCCATCCTGGAATTTCCACGTGTGAGCAGTACTTTGTTGTTCTCTGCCTTTGATTCTCTCATCAGCGTCGAGGTGTTGACCACAGCTTTGTTCTGGATCTTTTTAGCCCTTCCATGTGCAAACATGAACACACACTCAGGCCCTGGGCCCCATTGCAGAGCACTGGCCGGCAACTGGCAAAACAGGAGCCTTTCAGCCCAGGTGATTCCACTGTGTTGGGTTCCAGTGAACCGTGAAGGCTAAAAGGAACTTGAGTGATGTCTACTGCTCAAATGAACATGAGCAGCTCAGCCGGGCCCACAGCCCGGCCCTGACACGTCCTGGGTCCTGAATGCACTTGGCCGACTGGGCTGACTCCACTAATGGAAGAGTCTACGCAGTCAGGGCGGCTGCAACTGTCCTAACTCAACCCTGGAGGCTGTCCACGCTGCTCTGCACGTGCCCCAGGCTGATGGGGGTCCTGGGGGTTAACTTTTTCACTGCCTCTAGTGTATTCCATGGGACATACTTACACTAACACACTGACTCGCTCTGCATCTGAAATTTGAGCTTAACTGGGGATCCTGTGTTTTTATTTACTAACTCTGGCCACCTTACTCCTTTCACTGAGGAAGAGAGGATCTCCAAGGCTTGGCCCCCAAGTCACACAGCCCGTGGCACATCCGGGCTCAGAGCCTGGGACATTTGGCTACTGTTTTCTCCTTCCTCTGCATCACATAGTCTCTCACGTGAAATCTGCTGGCAGCAGATTTGCACCTGGTAAGCAGAGAGACAAAAATGACCCAAAGATCCGAGCTTGTGGTACAGATGCTGGAAGAAATGTCTAATGATGTAACACGGTCTTGAGGCTGCACGAGGCAGGAGGACGCTAGTCTGTGTCCCTGAAATGCAAGGCTCCCTCCCTGAGCCCAGGCCACAGGGAAGCCCCCGACGAGTGGCCACTACTTGGTGGCACAGTAACAACTATGGTTTTGAGCATCTGCCATGTGTCCAGCACAGTTTGTGCCTGATCGCCTGTGTTGTTCTTCACCCTGACTCTGGTGAGAAATCACCTCCCTCCATATGGTATGCAGCTGAGGAATGGGGAGGCCCAGAATCCCAAGGTCCCATCTGAACCCGATAGGTGGGTCTCGGTGGTAGATTCTCAGTGTCCGCCACGCATAGGGAAGGAGGAGGGGTGGCAGCCTGTGGCTTCTACCCTGCTTAGAGTATCCCTCGGCCTGTACCCTCATCTTAAAAGGGTCCGGAGAAGCAGGATCCAGATACCTGCCTTGAAAATCAGGAACCTGTCTGGGCTGCAGCCTCCTCCCCAGGCTAAGTGCGTAGACTTGCTTCCCAGCCCCACTGGACAGAAGGAAACTGGCGATGATGAACCCTCCCCGGGAGGAGATGCCGATGACCGCCAGGCCTACTCTGAGAGTATAATCTGTATGCGCAGGGCCTGGAGAAATGAGAATGAGCCCAGGGGGAAAGCTGCGGCGCGGGAAAGTGGCTGCCAGCCCGGGGAGTCACCTCCCACCTTATTAGCATAAAAGTCCTCTGTCTGCCACTCCGCGCTCCCCGTGGGCCATGTGACAAGGGCAGAAATGTGTGAATGGCCATGCTATTTGGCAGGAAAATACAGGGAGGATGATGCCAATCACATCGGGGGGTTGGCAAGCCCTTCCCCATCGGTTTGCGCCTCCGGTGCCTCTCCCATGCGGAGCTGGAGCGACCGAGTGACAGGCTCAGAAGGGCCCCAGTTCCCAGGAAGCATTTTGTCTTGTCTCCTCCCGGACCTCTTCCCCAACTGCCATCCCATCGGGTAGAAGGGTACCAGAAGAATCTGGCAGATTTAGAACAGAGAGCTACTAGGGATAGTAAATATTCATACCCGTACCTTTCAGCGTATCTTAATGTGGACAAAGTTTCTTCATAGCAGATGTCAGCAGGGCTTATGGCTGCTATCTGTAAAAAATAGCCCTTTCAGCTTGTGTGATTTTAGAGGGTTTTTTTGTTGTAGATTTTGTACAGCTAATGTTCATAGAATATCTTGCAGTTTACAGTATTGTTCAAGCTTTACAAGTCAGAAAACGCATGCGACACACATTTATCGCATATGCTGACCCCACATATACCCCCCACGTGACACACGCAGCTCACAGACACCTCAGATACACAACACAAACACATGACACAAATTCACAACACACACAGCAACACTTTCAAGGGAATACTGTTAGCATATCCACTTTAGAATTAAAACAAAGGAGGTGTTAAGATAACTGTGCCGGAAATAGGATTGGAGCCACAGAGGATCTAGCGCTTGGATGTTAGCTTTGCAATACTCTTTTAAGTGATGCCTAACCTCCTCCCAAACCACATCTTTCTCTGTTAAAGCGTCGTAGCACCCAAGTCAGGGCCTTGCCCTGTAGACCTGTTACACTTGACTTTGTAGTCTAACATTCTGAGCATCTTATGGGCCCCTTTTTTAGTCCAGGTTCTTGGGGGATGTGCCCGCTGTGGTCCACGGGCAAACACAACCAGAAGAACTTTGAAATATTTTTAAATGCGTAGGCAAGATTCAGCGATAGAGAACAAGGATGTCTTCTGCTGTGAATTTGGGAGAGCAGGCACAGAACAGGCCAGGCAGTGAGCATTTCTCTCCCAATCGGGACAGCAAGCATGAGGCAGGCAGAGTTTGCCCGGCTTTTTTCCTTCCCACACCTGAAGCCAAAGAGCAGAGAATCCCGATTTTAACACATTCTGCATTGTACCCGCTTGGCAAACTTCAGTAGTAAGAGTCTGGAGTCTTTGCTAAGGTGACACAGTTCAGCTCCTCTCCAGGTTAAACACCTGCCTTGTGTCTCACACATGGTCAAACTGATTTCCAGTCTTGCCCTGAAATGACCCCTGATTTAGAATAGTATGACCTTATCAGTGTGATTTGAAAAATTAGATGTTTTTTCCTGATAATAATAGTAATGTTCCTTGTAGAGAGCCTGAAAACTACAGAAAAGAATAAATAAAAAACGAAAACAAACAATATTTGAACATTGTAATAGAAAGAGTTCCAGGAGGAGGAGGAGCAAGATGGCGGAGGAGTAGGAGACCTAGATTTCGTCTGGTCTCAGGAATTCAGCTGGATAGGGATCAAACCATTCTGAACACCTACGAACTCAACAGGAGATCGAACAGGAGAGTAGCAACAACTCTCTGAACAGAGAAGCGACCACTTTCTGGAAGGTAGGACGTGCGGAGAAGTGAATCTGAGGCGATATTCGGGAGGATAGACGGCGGGGGAGGGGGCCTCCGTCGGCAGCTTCTGGCAAGTGATAGAGCCGCGGAGCACAAAATCGGACCTTTTAGAAGTTGGCTCCGTGGAGGGACGTCGCTGCAGTGGCTAAGTGGGGGGTGGAATCCTCCCGGGACAGTGTGGTCTCAGGACCCTCGGGGTCACAGAGAGACCGGGGGTGCCTGAGTGCGCCAGAGCTCCCAGGTATCGGAGCGGGGAAGCCGGCTGCAGAGACGGAGCAGAGTCGCGGGCTCACAGCTCGGGGTTGCCATAAACTGTGATCCGCGGCCCAGTCGGGCCACTGCTCCTCCAGCAGGAACCCAACAAGGGCAGATCCGGGGAGACTCCCCTTCCTTCCCGGGGAGGAGCGGCGCGGGAACGCACCGCAGGGATCTGCTGGGTTTGGAGACTCCACATGGGGTCGGGTGCCAGAGATACAAACGCTCGATCACAGGCCGGGTGAGCACGGAGTGCGGCCGGAGAGCAGGGACAAGGGAGTGATTGCTTTTCTCTGGGGGCGCACTGAGGAGCGGGGCCCCAAGTTCTCAGCTCCTCCGGGTGGATATTGGGAGGCCACCATTTTTGCCCTGGTCCTCCAAGGCTGTACGGAGAGCTTGCAGGGAACAAAAGCTCCTGAGATCAAACCCGAGCAGCTTGCTTAGCCCGGACCGACAAGGGCGGGGCAATTCCGCCTCCGGCAAAGACATTTGGAAACCACGGCAACAGGCCCCTCCCCCAGAAGACCAGCACGAACAGCCAGCAAGCCAAGACCAAGTTTATCGATCAAGGAGAACGGGAGAACTCCAGCGCTAGGGGAATACTGCACATAGAATTCATGGCTTTTTTTTTACCATGATTCATTAGTTCATCAAAGTTAATTTTTGTTAACTGTTTGTTTTTTCTTTTTCCCTTTTTCAACCAACATCTTATCAATCTCTTTAAAAAAAAAAAACACATTTTTTATTTTTCATTTTTAGAGTCATATTTTATCCCTTCA